CTTGTCAGTTTGCATAAACAAGTGTTTTTCTTCATTGATCAGAATTACGCCACCTCTTTGCTTCTTCAAGTTTGAGATCACTGGGCCAATCAATATTCTTCAAGGCCTGAAAAAGCTTGATTTATGGGAGAAATAAAGTAGATGACTTTAGTTTCAGGGACAAACACATCTTTATTTCTTTTATTGACTGCTAAGTGTAGAAAAACCAACTAATTTGGCATTCATTCAACAATATTTACTCACATTAGGCAATTCTCTAGGCTGGGGATTGAGAAAATCTTTGGCTTCATGGATGTGACCTGGAAGGATGCCAGGAGGAATAAAATTCCTTGTAAATTAGAATAGTAAGTGGTTAATAATAAGTAGGGCAAAAATCTTGTTTTCTCCCATGGGAAACTTAACTGAGTTGTATCATGTAGGAAGAAAAATACGCATCTGGTTTTAAGAGCAATTGTTAAGAATAAATGGTAAATCATGGAGCTTTCATTCAGTTCCTACTATATATTTGCTGATATTACAGGCTGTAAAATTCGATAGGATACAGTACCTTCCCTCACAGGGCTTCTAATCTAGGTGGAGGATATAATAATAAATCTGCTAAAGTGCCTTAGTTTCTTCAGTGTAGCAAAACACTAATATGAAGAAAAAACAGTTGAGGAAGGCACATGTTCATTAGCCACCCAAATGGAGCATCCCTGTATGTCAACATTCCAGGGCTAATGGCACCTCATTCTTTTGTGTTACAAATTGGGACATTAGTGCCTCTAGGAAATAGTGACGCCCATCATTTGTCAGCCCATTGGCAATACTGAATTATTTCATTGATCAAATTACATTTCTGATATTTTAGACTAAAATGTTTTAGTCCCTGCACTTTCACAGCAATATGTAATTACCAAGGGAAGAGATCATGGTCCAGGAGACCTGTCTTCTTGGATATTCTTTAAAAAACTACATCTGATAATTAATGCACAATTAAGCACAAATAAGGAAGCCTATGAAAATGGCGTAGGTTGATATTAACACAGCCCTTTAGATGGATTAAAAGAAATGATCTCTAATCTGGTCAGGAGCATCTGGGAAAAACTTAATGGAAAAAGTGATGTCTAAGTTCAGCCTTAAAACACAGGTAGAGTAACCATAAGTCAAAAAAAAAAAAAAGTACAGAAGGTAGTAGAAAGTGTACGACGTAGAAGGATGAAGATGTACTCTACTTTGGCTGGAGACAAGGAATGAAGGGTAGGAGGAAGTTACTCAAAGCAAGACACTGTGCTACAGGGGGCACTTATTTTATATTCCTAGAGTACACTTGTTTGTTGGATACAATTAGTGGAATACAGAACACTACAAATAGTTTAAATCTTTACTTTGGCAAATAATTGCCCCTTTCAGCCCAAATGTCTCTTCCTGGAGGGTCTTCCCTAC